ATTGCTAAGCCTATTCGTTTTAAAAACACAGTAGGATTGTTGCATCTCTTTGCTTTCCCGTGGATTGTTACCAGCTGAAAGTGGAGACATTAAAATGAAGTTTTTTTCTTGTGGAAAGCGACTGCGTTTCTTATTTTGTAATGTGTATTTTGAATTGATTTCTTTCTCTGTGGTCACCAAAGTGTTGTTTGATGCCAAGGTTTGTTCTATGGAAGTGTTTTTATAATAGGAATTTTTTTACAAATCATCTCATAACATTTTATTGCTTACTCTGTGAAATCTACAAGAAATCTGCCCATTTAAACATTTTCAGCTTAACAAATGTGCAATTGTTATCCCAATTATGTGTAGCAATAACTGCAGCATATCCTTCTCACAAGAATGCCTTTGGAATCTTTAAATACAGTACTTATGTCACTGGTAGACTAACTGTACAAAGAATGTCTAATAACTTTTTTTTTACTACTGTAAGGGTTTTTACCCTTCATATAGAGATTTTTTATACAACTAAAGTATCTCTGAAACCAACTTTTTCTGGCCCATTGAATATTGTTTTAGCTGGTGTCCACTTGTATAACAGAATACTGTCAAGAAAGGAATTTTTGATAACATTGTGGCTACCATGTAGGGTCCTGAGACAAATTCACTGTAAGTGATTTTTATACAGGTAAACTCTCTACAGTGATATTGCATGCATTGTGTTTTTTTTCTGCGGATTTATTTTTCTTTTGGCCCCCTTATTTTAGGGTTCTATAATAGGGATTTTCTACAAGAAATGATTTTCATTCCAATGAATTTTGTTGTAGAGAGAGTCCACCTGTCACAAGAATTGTTGTAACAAGATTCTACTGTACTTGAAATTGATGTATCAAATGTCATTGAAATTTGAAAACAGATGAATGAATGCCCTCTGGGTTCTGGCATTTTTAAAATAAGATTTTCAACCCATTTTGTGCACACTATGATGTAGAGCTGAAACTTCATTCGTTTTGTTGATATTTTCCCACTCATTTCACTCTTCATGCAAAATTTTTCAAAAATGTCAGAAACCGAAATATTTTGTTTTCATCGCATAATTTTTCAAGTTTGTTGATTTACTAATTTCTTTTTTGAAATTGTAAGATGGGCCATGATTAATTTTCTTGCAATGATCAAATAACAAAACTTGTTCAGGGGTCCTGTAATATTATGTAATTTTCACATTTTTGATGTAATTTTGAAACAAAATAACATTCAGGAAATCAACACTCGAGTTGCAAAATCATCTTCACTGTTCCAACAAACTCAATCCTCAAATTAATATTTGGGGGAGAAAAAAAGACAGATCGAAGCTGCAAACGTTTTACTGCTAATCTGTTTCATAATTTCAGGATGGAAAAATTCGCGCGTGAAATTGATTTGGAAAGTGTCGGAAAGGTGTTGCGAATTGAACAAAATTTAGTCGGCGATGTCGGTTGCGTCGTGTGGGACGCCGCTTTGGCGCTTGTGAAATTTCTCGATGTTCAAAAACTGAATCCGGCGGCGTCTGAGACTATCGTCGACGTTTCCGGTAAAACTATTGTGGAACTGGGTTCCGGGACTGGTTGTGTCGGTATAGCTGCTGCTTTGCTTGGGTGAGTTTCCAACAGATGGAGCTCCTAGAAGTCTATTTTAATTCTTCAGAGAATTCCGTTGTAGACAGAGTCCGCCTGTAGCAAAGGTTTTTTTCTATTCTGGTCCCAAAAATTGATTGTGTCTCTATTGGTGAATTAATTAAAATGATTATTATAATAAATGATTGTTATTCATGAATAAAATGATAATTGGTAGTGCAAATTGTGTACAGTAAAATCTCGTTACAACAAACTTTTGGGGACTCCAGAAACATTTTGTTATAACAGATAATTTGTTGTAACGAGATTATAAAAAAAAAGACTGGAAATATTTTTTTCAGCTCAGATCTGCATATATTCAGAATCAGGCTTGTCTTTCAGTTTAAGAACTCAAGTTATTGTTTGAGAAAATCAGTGATTTTCTTTTGAAAAAAATTCTTATTCACTGCTGCTGGCAATACATCCTCAACTTTCTTCAGTAGATCATATTTTTCATCACTTGCAATGTCTTTTGATTCAGGCTTCAATGGCGAATAACACAAACAAATTTTAAGTAATTTTTCCAAAATTTTTCCACAAAAAACCAAAAAAATTTTGTCAAAAAAGTTTGTTACAACAGAATTTCCAAGTTTGTTATAACAAGATTTTTTTAACATGCAGTCTATAGGCTTTCTGCTGGGACTTGAAAAAAAGTTTGTTGTATCAAAAAATTTGTTGTAACGGTAATTGTTGTAATGAGATTTTACTTTTTTTTCCTGTTTTGGTCGCTTATTTCCAGAGCCAAGTCAGTGGGCATAACAGACTTGAAAGAGTTCATCTCCCTTTGTGAAGAGAATGTCGCGCTGAATGGTGTTGAGGATTCGTGTTTTTGCATTGAACTCGATTGGCAGTGGCCTAATGTTCCTGAGTCTTTGTGCAACGCTGATTTCATACTATTTTCTGATTGCATCTACTACCGAGAAGTGAGTGAGTCAGTGAGGTTTGATTTGAATTTTGCCCCAGATAATTTGACTTAATTTTCTCTCGATTACCCCGCAGATCTTCATTTTGTTTGGATCTGGGACAAAT